TCTAACCACACAAGGCAAATGCCCATTTTCCACTGAGGCAGCTGAGGCCGAGAGCATTCACATAGCTGTCCTGACGTCATGCTGCTGTTGCTGTGGTCATGCTGGGCTGTGGCCACAGGTCAGCCTGGCTCTGCTGTGGATCACAGTGTCTCCCCACTTCTCCGTTTAAATACTGCATGGTCCCCATATGGTTCACATATGACATCTGAGTCACACGTGGCTGGTTTATAGTCATAAAATGATATGAGAGATCACTCTTCTGTAGTGGCAGCAAGCAGTCCCTTTGGTTGGGCATTTACAGACTCTTGAATCACGAGGCAGATTTTGGAACTTAATAAAGAATAAACCAATAAGACTTGATCTATTGAGGGTGTCCATAAACTGTGCCACCAGCAAGTGTCCTCAGATCCCAGGGAAATGGAGGAAGAGTATGTGGGTTGCTTAATTACTCTGCTTTTTTGGCTGAGCCCCGGGTGTCGGGAGCAGGTGGGCTTCTCAGCTACTTAGAAGTTGCCTGATGCTTCACGTGTGGGATGCCACCTGCGCAGTTCTGTTTTAAAATAATGGGTACTAGCATCTGTATACATAATTTAAAATAAATTTACATTCTTATTCTGCCTGAGATGAGAAGATTGTGTACTGGTGTGATTAGAGAGAAGAGTGAGGATTTGGAGAAGGGTTGAGAGAGGCATTTTATAGCATTTTTAGATTCAAAGCTCTTGGTATGAAGTTCTTCCTGTTAAAGAAAGCTGAGTGGTGGGATGGATGGATGGATGGATCTATCTAGATGGCAAAGAAGAAGCGAGGGACATATGCAAGGTTAATAGTTTATTTTGGAGTTGGTGGGATTATGGATGCTTTTTGTTTGTCTGTATTCATCTTTCTTTTCTAAATTTTTCTGTACTTAATGAAAGTGTAAAGTAGGAAGTAGCCTTAAATAACCCTAGAAAGGGCAAAGTCATGGACTGTGTGTGAGTCGTTACCGTTCTTCATTATATATACATATATATATGTATATATATATAATACACACACAAATTTCCATTTTTTCCACTATATATATAGAAATACAAATATAGAAATACATATATACATATACATATATAGTTTTGAGCACATGGAGGGTTGCACCTTCTGAAGCTAAGCATAACCACATGACTTGCTCTGCCAACAAAATCTGAGCAGAAGTGACATCTGTACTGCTGGGTGGAGGCCTTGAGATCAATCCTGTGTGCACTTTGTCACGTTCTCCTCCCCACACTGTAGAGGCTAGTGATGTTACAGAAGATGGAGGCCCCATCTGCCTGGGTCCCTGGCTAACCATGATGAACATGGTCCTGCCGACCTGGGATGGGCATGAAGTGTGAGTGAGCAGTGATCCTTGATTGTTTTAAGACACTGAGGTTTGGGAGCTGTTCAGTAAGGATACTGAAGCACATCCTCCTGATTGGTATGGAGGCAGTTACGTGAGCCATACTAAGGAAGCTGGACCGTATCTTATTGGCCATTCTAAGCTACAAAGGGGTTTTAAGCTGGGACTTTGTATATGTGTTTGATTTGCCAATCCAAAGAGTAAACCCTGTCCAAAGAAAGCCCAAACTTCTTATGTTCTAGATGGCAAATGCTAATTTAACACCTCTTAATTAAAAAAACCCACCGGTTCTATAGTGGTGGTGGAACAGGCTGTATCTTGAATGTGGTGATTGTTATATGAATCTATATATAGAATAAATTGTCATAGATTTATACACAAAGATATTCCAAATAAAAGAAATTGAGTACATCCCCAAACTGGTAAAGCCCAGGGAATGTCTGTGGTCTAATGAACTGTGTTTGCACCACTGTCGATTTTCTGGTTCTGATAATGTGCTATAGACATGAGTAAGATGTCACCATTGTTGGTGCTGGGAGGCAGGGCACTCTTGGTGCTATTTTTGCCACTTCTTGTGAGTCTGTAACTGGTTCCAAATCGAAGTTAACAACAACAGAAAGTTTATGAGTTAAACCAGGGAAGTGCATTGTGGTCAGTCCCAGATTCCTGGCCAGACGTGGCAGGAAAGCTCACACAGGCGAACAGAGCCTCTTGCCTCCACCTAGCACGCAGCAGTTTATCCCTCAGAAATGAATGCTGTTTGCAGTGCCTTGGCCACTGTGTTCCCGTTTCAAGCACATCCCATGATAAACATGTCTATTGTGTTGTTAGGTTTGTGAGACAGTCAGAAGAGCAGCGCCCCCCACCCCAGCACGCTTGCACACACACACACCACACACACCCTGATTCTAAAAGCTGTGTGTTTTTTCTTCCGTGAACTTACCAGATTGCACACAGTTTCTCTGCATTTCACAGGGTCAGTAGCAGGAGCAGGAAACCTGATGCCAGGGGCAGGAGAATTACCTGGGTAATAGTGTGTGGACTTGAATCACTGTCCCCAGGAGCCTAGGAACCCACAGCCTGTGGATTAGTCTGTTGAACTAGTCAGTGGCTTGTGACCCCTTGTTCCCTCTGGATGTGTATGTTCTGATTTTGTTCTTATTGGTGGTGGCAGCTCTGTACTTTAAAGTGAAGGGGGAGGACCAAAAGACAACTTACCAGTTGTAAGTTACACATACAGAAGGATGTACTGGCCCACTTGGCTGAGCCATCATTTTCTTTGGAAGTTGCTTTGGGGTCACCATCTGGGAATGTTCTTCCTGTTTTATTAGTGAAATATGTATATGCATTTTTGTGATATGTAGCCTGCATATCCCGTGGGGTTTCCCTAAGGGGCTTGGCTGAGAGGAACGATGTCTTCACCGCCGCCTCCCCAACAGAATGAGTATCTGGCTTTCCTCTTGTGATACATTCAAAGTTCTGTAAGATTCTCTGTGTGGCATTGAGTATCATGCTCTAAGTGAAGTAAGGCTGGGGTCAGAGGGGGTAGAATGGGGGTGAAAGGCCACTTTATTCGCTATGGGGACTAAAAGTTAGCCATTGACAGACTTGGTACGCCAAAGAGATTTGAGTCATCGAACAGTTATCAGCCATGCAGACAGAACGTGAGTGGGGTTTTTCTCCTGGTCTGGAGGTCCAGGCTCTCTACACGGTACAACCTCACTCAAATGCGTTAATTTCTGCTGTTGGTGGTATCTTTCTCTGTAGGACAAGGGGTGTGACCCCAAGTCACCATGGACCCTCCCGCTCTACTATTCTCTGGTCTTAGGAAACTCCTAACAAAACCCATGTGTTGGCACTTAACCCTCTTCCTGGCACAGGTTAAATGCTTCTCCTTCTTCCAAAATCGGCACATTTGTGCACCTGCCACTGTTACCCAAGGAAATTCAGTCTACATTGGTCAACTTGCCTTCACCACCTATATGCCTTTTAGGGTTTGGGGTAGTCATTTAATCATCTTACACCCTTTTCCCTAAACCCGGGCTCTGTTAGGAGACATGCCCTGGATCCTCTGGGATCTAACAGTGAACTGGTCCGATGCAGTCTTCATTAATATCATTCCATCCACCGTTCTGCACTGTAGCTCACCCAAACCACCATTTGTTGCAGACCGGAAGGAGTTTGGCACACTAGATATCTTACCTACTTCTAGTCAAGTTTATTAAATACCTTCTCTCTTCCAGACTGGATGTTAGGTGCTTTACACTCATTCTCACAAGTCTGTGAGAAGATAATTAATATTTTCCTTTTATAAATGAGGAACTGAGGCTCAGAAATGTTAAATGGCCCAAAGTCAGTTGGCCTCCCAGCTGCCTGATGCTTATTATTCAAGGCTTGGGACCTGGTTCCAGCCCAGGACTTAGGCGGCCAATTCAAACTGCCACAGATATCCTAAGCATCTCAGCACAGCTTGGGCCTCTCCCTGAATAAGGCTACTGAGGTGGAGATGTGCTCCGCAGTGCCGTTTGCATCCCCCTTCATACCATTCGTCTCCCAGTCTCACCGTAGCATTTCCCAGGCTTGCCGTTTGTTTTCTGGGACTTTCCTTACCTGAACAGGCAGGTGGCCCCAGCATTCTTGGCTGTACATGCTTTGGAGGAGATAGGTCTAAGAAGTGATAGTATTTAATTGCATACCCTGCAGGCCAGCCAGACTTAAAAATCGGGAGTGCCCCATAAACATGGGGCAAGTCTGAAAGGCAACCCTCATCTTTCCAGAATTGTGCTAGGACACTGTCCAATGGAATATGATTGCTTCAAATCCTGATGCTCCTGGCCTTCTAGTTTCTGTCAAGGAGGGAACGTGGGCTTTGGTGTCAGACTGACGTGGTGAATCCTTGCCTCCAACCCTTCTTAGCTCTGGGATCTCTTACAAGAGACCACATGTAAAATAGGGAAAGTAGAACCCATTCAGTTGTGGGGATGTGACAAGATGGTGCATGTAAGCGCCCAGCCCACGGTCAGCCCTGAACATACAGTAGTCATTCTTATTATCCACGTGTGCCCCACCTATCTGTAGGGTTTTCTGGGTTGTGAAACCAGAGGTCTCTCTGGGATCTAGGTCACTCAGGGTCCATTGGAATAAATGAGTTTTGCCTGCTTTTGTACTTTCTCTAAATGAATCATCTTTAATTTTTGACACAGGCTCAGTGGAATCATTTCAGAACCTGGATGGCAGCTTTTGAGATGAAAATATCATCTACTGAATTCTTGCAAGAGCCAGGCTTTGTCCTGCATTCCCCTATTTTTACGGGGTTTTTTTTTTTTTTTTAGGACGCAGATTGAGAGGAGATATGTGAGCCTGAAGACCCTTTGGAGCCTTCTCTGTGCGCTGAGTGAGACAGCACAACCCCAGCCTGTGGTTTTAGTAGATTCCCAGTCTCACATCCTCCCAAACTTGGCAGTAAAAGCCCTGTTCTTCCATTCATTCCAATGATTTATATTCTCTCTGGGCGTCTAATATTAAACAGGGGAATTCCAACATGTTCCATAACACATTTACTGTAACTTGATACCATGAACTAAACTTGCTGTTATTTATCATTTCTTTTTATTTTCTCTCGTTCCAGCACAAAGCCAAGGTAGAAGCAATGACCCTGGACCTCGCTCTGCTCCGTAGTGTGCAACATTTTGCTCAAGCGTTCAAGGCCAAGAATCTGTGAGTGTTCCAGTGGAGGGTTATAGATCATAATATCTTGCTATTGTAATGTCTTTATCAGATGAACACAATTGGGAGAAGACAAATGCGAGGCTGTTGTGTTGTCCTGGTGTCCAACAGCAGGCTCATTTATGTTGGCCCCGTTAAGGTATACCATATTTTCTTGACTTCTTGAGTCACCCTCATTATGAGATGTGTCATCAATCTAATAACAGCTCCCCCAATAAAAAAGGAAAGACACTATTCAAGCACTAGTAAGAGTGGCTAATAAAAGCGAGCTGATGCATCTGTAGGATGCATCCTGATTACTCACATTTTTGCAGTGCATCTCAGAATCAAGGAAAAGCATATTTTAACTGCGACCAGGAACGAGTAGCCTTACTTATCCAGTTCTCCAAGGGGGCCGAGAATCAGAGCATGAGGAAGTTCTACCGTTTCCACATCTGCAATGATTTTATGTTATGTGTGAACATGGCTCCAAAACATGGACCCACGTTGTGAGACAGTTATTCTTCTTTCCTTCTCTTTTGGTCTTTCAAAATGCCCGAAGGAGGAAGCCCTCGCTAGGGGCTGGCAAGTGTTTATGCCATCACATGCCACCTCCCTTTCTAACAGAGAGAGCAGACCTCAGACCAGAGATGGGGAAAAGCAGTGGTGGCTAGCTCCATTTTAATTACAATATTTTGTTTCCAAGTGTTTATTTTTATGGTTCCCTCATATTGAGGGCAAGCAATACTGGTTTCTCATTTAACATAGCAGTTTAAATTTCATTTAAAAAAAAATAACTGCATTTATTTATTTATTTATTTATCTATTTATTTTAGTGAATTGATTTAAACACGAGGATTAAGTTAATAACAGTACAGGTGGTGCCAAGGATAAGATAGTTTTAGAAGTGGCACCAGAATGACGGAATTTGGGAGAATGCTGATAAATGACAGTTTGTCTTGGGGTTAGGCTATGCTGGGGGTGTTGGTTTTATGGTTCTCCTAGCAGATGATGGATGTATGCGGAGGCATTTAAACCAGATATTCAGAAAGTACTATGTAGATCTGGGCCTGCAGTGCTGGCCAGTGGCCAGCGCCTCTTGAGTGTGCCTCAGTGTCTCACTCTGCTCTTTTATGCTGCAAGGAAGTCTGTTCTCTAAAGCCTTTTAGCAAGCGGCCTGAGTCCTTGAGGTTGAAATACAAAGTCAGAGTCTTGAGTGGAGTTGCACTGTCCCCGTAAATGCAGGCCGTGAACTCACCAAACAGTCGGGTCATGTCCGTAGTGAGCCAGCAGACCTGGGCGAGCCCGCTGTGTGTGCTCTCCACGGCGTCTGCCACTTGGTGGCTGCCAGCCCCTTCCGGAGCTCCCGGTTCAGGGTACAGGGTTTTGCTAAAAGGAAAATCGCCTTTGATTTTTGCTAAAGGTCAGTTCAGGGTACAGCAGTAGCTTTGAAGACATTTGCTTGTGTATAACTGCATTGCTCATTTATCCACTTGCTCATTCACTTCACACACATTCGGTGAGTGCCTCCAAAGCCCCAGCCCCTCTTCTGGGCTCTGGGAAGAGAGTGGTGTCCCCTGGAAACCCACTTCCCCTCAGACTAGAAGCTATAATCTCAGGGGCCAGCAAGCACTTTTATTGCTCAGGGCTGACTCCTCGACCTACTGTTTTTGGGCTTGTTTGGAAGGATAGTAATAATAATAATAATAGCAGCAGTGAGCGGTAGCAGTTCATTTATCCAGTGCTTGTTAGGGGCCACACACTGAGAACCCTTTGCGTGCATTTTCTGATTTGCTGCTATTTCTTATTCTGTTATACAGATGAGGAGAGCAAGACTAGACGGGGAAGGTGGGTTATCTGAGGGCCCACAGGTGGGAAGCAGGGGGTGGGGGGCCTGAGAGCCTCCGCGGTAGTCCCTCCAGGCCTCCTGCTCACCCACCATGCGGCCCTGTCTCTCACTAGAAATGCAGTGGAGACTGAGATCGGAGACAGTGAGTGACTCTGGCAGGGTCACTTGGCAGACTGGGAGCAGCCTTGGGACTTCCCTCCAGTTCTGACTGTCACGCTCTCCCTGACCACGGTGCGTCCTCTCTGTGCTTCCTCTGGTCCCTGGCTCAGCCCGTGCTGGGAGCAGCAGTATGGCTGAGGCGCGCCAACTGTTACGTAACAGAACCATCTTCCAAGTCATAGCAGGACCGTTAGTTCAAGTAGTTCAGAAATTACCAAATTCAACTGCCTTTTGTAATCAGCAACCTCAAACTCTTGGAGAAAGCTATCACCCATTTTGCCCTAATCCTAGATTTTAGCAAATGACTGAATTTTTGTACTTCTACGTTCAGAAACGAAGGCGATTTTCCTTTTAGCAAAACCCTGTACCAGAAAGCTCTTTTTATATGTCTCTCGAGATCCAGTCTTTTACACGGCTTAGAGAAATATTGTGGTGGCGAAAATATGCATAAAAAAGTGAGTGATTTTACTCTTGAAATACTGCCAAAGTGAAATCTCTCCTGGATAGGCAGATGACAGTTTAGTACTTACGGGTCTTTAGATTCTGAGCACTGTCAGAAGTGAATTTAAGTGCAGGTGGCTGGGCTGCCAAAAACCACGTGTAGCCTCCTGCTTCTCATCACCTCCCATCTTCAGACATGAAAATTTGCTTGTGTGTAAAACATAATGACAAATGAAAGAAAGCCTGCCAGTTCAGAACCAATCTCCTTTTGTGCTGTTGGACCAAGGAGAGGAAAAACCCTCACACTGAAATTCCATGTGGACACCCCCATTTACTGTTCTGTTTTAAAGCCTGTGAGCACGCCAGAAGTATTGTCTGCCTCCTCGCTCCTGTGTGTATTTCCGCCCGGTTTGTGCTCCGGCTCATGTGTGCCTCCCTGCACTGGGAGAGGCGACGTGTCGTGTAGCCCGACACAGGGAAAGGTAGAAACAGATGCTAGATGCAAACCCTGCTGGAAGGCGCAGCCTGTCCTACCCTCCATCTGCCTTCTAGCAGGAGGAGATGTACATTCAGCCTACTCTGGGATATCTTCTTTTTTCCGGGCTGGGGAAGAGGTGGTGGGCGGGAGGCTATTTTAGAATGAGTGCCGCTAATAATGATTAAACAAAATAAAAGCTGCTAGCCAGCTTGCTTTTTATTCTGTGCAAGGCAGGGTGCTCAGCATTTATAAGTGAATTCTCTCTTTAATTTCTTACAGCCACCCTAGGCATTAGTCATTTTTCTCTCTAGTTTACAAATTGAAAGTCTCCAGTCTTTCACAGAGAGGCTAAATTGCTTTTCCAACTTCAGCCAGTGGTGGATTCCCAGTTTGAACCCAATTGTGTCTGAATCCAGAACAATCCAGTCTGAATCCATAACCGCTCTTCTTGCTACATCTCACACTTCGGTCCCACGTTTCAGCACGGATTCCTGGACTGGGATGGACCTGTGGAGGTAGTGGCTCCACAATCTAGCAGCTTAACACCATTAAAAACAAACATTTCCATGCTCTCTTTCAGTTTGTTTAAATCAGTTGCTTGTTCAAACACAATATATACGCTTTAATCTGTAGGTTTCCCGTCAATTTTTTTTTTTTTTTTTTAATTCAGCTTACTTGTTGACAGGGTTGCCCTCGAGAGTTTTCTCTATCCTATACTTCAGGAACTGCATCCCCATGGTGCCACTGAACATGTTCTTTTGTTCTCTTGTCTCCTGAATTTCTTGTGAAGTGTAGCTAAGTCTAGAGCTTGGTCCAATGCCCATTTAATTCTTGGGCAAGAGTGCTGCATGGGTGGTGGTGTAGTCTGCCATCAAGAAGACATGCGTGGCTGCTTGCCAACACCAGCTTTCCTGGGCGTGGCACACCCTGACAGCACAGAAGAAAGCTTCTGCCCACTTCCTCATGCATTCATTCATTCGGCTCTTCTTCTCGCACTCTTCTGGGTGGTCAGGCCAGGAGTCCTCTGCCTGCTTCCAGGCAGTTCTCCCCAGAGTTAGTGGGGGTAGTGGTCAGCCAGTGTGTCTCAGGTCGGGTTATGTTGGGCATTACTGGAAAGTTCCAAGCCCGAGCTTGTGGTTAAGTCCCAACCAAACTGAATTTTGAAGGAAATTTTGTTTAAACTGCAATCCCAGACAGCAGCCAGACCCCACACTGCCTGGCGGGCAGAGGCATCCATCAGAGTATGAGGAGCTGGGACCTTTACTAATCATTCAGACCAAATATTGACATTTTTGCTAACGCACTCTGCAACCATAGTCCGTTGTTTGGGGCGCTTTTGTACATTTTCATTCCTAGTTTCTAGCTGCTTAGCTCACTGAAACATGCATATTTTGAGCAGGGCCTGGAACAGTTTGACAGTTACTAGAACCAGAAGCTCTGTAGATATTTTTCCTTTTTTCAGAAGATATTAGAAAGTTTGAGTTCCGGATATTCCTGAAATAATGGACATCTGGATTCCAATCCTGGAGTTTTGAAAATTGGTAATGGCACTTAACACAGGAAACTCTTGGCTTGGATCCCAGGTACCAATCAACTCTTACAATGTTGACCAAGGGTTTTGATTTGTTCTGGAAATTAATTGAAATTGATACTCAGTTCATATTAAAATAATATATACAATTCTGATGGTTTCTAGAACTTCATTTTTGATCATGGATTTCTACTTTGCCTTCTCAACTTTTTGTCTCTAGTATAATTTAAGGAAATTAGACTTTGTTTCATTTAGGAAATAATATAGAATACTGATGTTTTAAAAAAAGTGCTAAGAGAACAGTTTTCTTTATTTTTTAAACATTTGAGGGGGACAATCTTTAACAAAGTTATTTATTTTTACTTTTCACTAAATTACTTTCAGAACTTGAATCTACTAACCCCAGATATAATATTCTTGGATCCTTATTTCAAATTTTGCTGTCTCAAATCCTTCTATGGAAGTGGGTGTGCCATAAATTATAAATAAATTCTACATTTTGAGGGATAAATTACCCTGAAGACCGATGTGTAAATTACAGCTTAATCTTTCTT